TGAATTTTCCAGTGGAAAATCCGGATCATTAGTATGAATCTGTGGAAAGGTGCTACTTACCGCTACACCATGCACACCACTAATATCACGATTTATAATAATTTGCCAGCGTACTGACCACCAGTGCGAAGAAGCGTTTTTTGCACAGTTCCCCGCAGGTTTTTGCTGCTAGTGGCATTGTTTTTTCTGGCAGATGTTTTTGGCTAAAAGAACTAAAACTGGCCATCACGATTATCAGCAAACATCCCCAAAAAATTTTGGCTTTCTACTTTTTCTAGTTCCCGAGTTGGCAACTCACCCGTCAAAAATTCTTAAGGGCCCGTACGTGGCAACCACGAGGGCAAAAGCTTCCATTTCGGAGATACGAGCCTGTACAAGCGTGCAAATTAAGCGACCAAATTTTCGGCTTTGTAGCTTTTGTAGGTTTCGGGATGAAATTTCAATGTACAGACGCACATAGAGACACAGAAACACACCGACACAGTCAAAGACACACACAAAGATGCAAAAAAATGCATAAAAATCACCCAAGTGTGCAAATGCCCTGTGGCCTCTTCTTCAAAAACTCTGTAATATTTTTTTCACACTCTTATTTACTTCTGCGATTAATCATCACAGTCACCTTTCCAATCACGTTTGAATGCTTTTCTGAATACACATGAAATGAAATGAATGTGAAAGGTAAAGAAACTCAGAAAATTAGAAAATTCTGCCCCCGTGTACCGGCATAACACAAAGAGGAAGACAAGGGATGAACTAACAGCACTGATTTTTTTTTTTTTCTTTTTTTTTAATATCTGGGAAGATATTACAGTATCGAAATGCAGAAAAAATACAAATCCACGAAAAAACTGTTGCACCTGGATGCCAGCTGCAGTCATCTGAACAAGCGCCAGGAGATATAACGCAATAAGATCCATTTGCAAGTGACCATATTTCTGCAATATAAAGCACGATGAGCTGATGAATGAATGAACTACGAACCAAGCATACTGCTTTATCAAGAACTTCTACTTGCCAATATCAGCTTATCATCCCTCACTCTAAGAATTTCGCAAGCATTCAACCCCAAACCCCTTCTAAAAGCTATTCAACCAGCTCTTCATTACGGAATTCCCACTAGCTCAACTCAAAAAAGCCTCGCTTCCCGCTACCCTTATTCTTTACACAGCAGGGTTAAGTAAAAAACAGACGCTGAAAAAAGGTCTTATACAAGAAGCCGATAGGAGTACCTAAACTTGATGCTGTGGTGATTTCACATTAGCACGGACTGAGGCAGAAAGGAAACCAATTTCTTCCCAGTAAACTGATTCGTTTCGATGGCAAAGTGATCGCATGCGAGGAACTCGAGTGCCTTCACCTTGCCATCCAAGACACTGAAAAATCCGAGAGCCTCCAAATGCTTTCGGAAAAGCGCTGGCCGACTTGAATGTTTCTATTTTCCGCTGACAGCAAAGTGCAAGGGAGAGGTGAGAGTGGGAACGGGGGAAAAGGAATGAAACCACTGAACTGGGTAAGTGCTTGCTTGAAGTGGAAAAGATTCAACTGATGCAAAAAAATTTGGTACGTTCAGCTGATCGGAAAGCGGACTTCCCCCCTCAAATTTTGCAATGCACTGCAATACAAAGCAAACCCAGAAGATTATCGAATGTAGTTCGGATAAAATGCGAGGATACCTTTTCGTTGGGTGTAGTCAGTGCCATGCCCGTGTGCAGATCGAAGCGTGCGTGCAGCGCAAATTCTGGTAAATTGTTTTTCTTGAACTGATTCAGCTAAACAAATAACACAAATTAGTGAAATCAATAGAAACACAATCTGTGGTAAAATAACGAATGAAATTTTACACTGCCTATGTACGGCGCTTCACCCGTCGCGCAGCGGCCAAGCTTTCCCTGCTGAGAGAAGCTGCATCAGCTGGCGATCCATCCCTTCCTTTCTGCTCCCCTCAGAACAGAAAGCAACAGCTAACTAGTTTCCTCAGTTAATTAACCTATTTTGGTGTTCTGCTAGGAACAAAAAAAAATGAATTGGCGAAGCAGGCACAGAGAGTTTCGTAGCGAAATAAGCAGCACTGCGATGAGGAACAACAGGTTCAACGGTTCAGAATAACTGTGGCGTGGCAGCACATTGGCAGAAATGCTTTTCCCCAGGACTGAAGGGCGCGGGTGCAAAATGATACATTATCAAGTTGCTGCATCCAGGCGAACATGATCCCTCGCATCGCTTTCACGGCCGACTGTCGCAGCTCCGTCTGTCTTCCGCGGTCGTCATCCAGCCGCCTGCAATGCCTTTTCTCATTGCACAGCGACAATGCACTTCACTTACTGCTAGAAGCATTCCCCCCTGCCAATTCCTCGAATTGCATTTTGTGCAGCCATTTATTTCCTGCTTACCGCTTTTCACGAAAAAAAAATAAATAAATAGCAACGCGCACCAGACTAGCCGGTGCGATCATTCGTTTTGTGCAATTCAGCCCATCGTAACGATATTTGCCTGTTAATGATTTTCACTGCTTTGTACTTTAGTCTATGCAAAAATAGTTCAAACATTGAAAACCAGACCCTATTAATGATTTTCACTGCTTTGTACTTTAGTCTATGCAAAAATAGTTCAAACATTGGAAAACAATTGAAAATTTCACGTACCAGCGCTTGAAAATTGAATTCGAAAACTTGAAGGGTGAATATCTTAATCCCGAGTTAACAGTTTACCCGCCAAAATTTTCACGAGGCCGTAGGTGAAACTCGAGAGCGCGGGAACGCTGAATTTGAATAGGTAAGGTTGAGCGTGGGCAGAGGGTCATTCCCTAAAATTTCAGCCCCTTAGACTCCGCGGTTCCTGAGACATTAATTTACCCGCAAAA